AAAAAAAAAAAAAAAAAGACTGAGGAAGGAGGACCCCAAGTTGAAGGCCATCTTGGCCACTTTAAATGGGGCTCTATCTCAAAAATAATTACAACAAAAATAAAGGCCAATGAGTTAGCTAAGTGGTATGGCATTTGCTTAACAACCATGAGGCCCTAGGTTCAACCCCCAGTACCAAAACACCCAACCAAATCCTCAATATGCTGGGCATGGTAGCATGTACCTGTAATCCTAGCACTTGGGAGGCTGAGGCAGGAAAATAACTGCAAGTTGCAGGCCAGCCAGAATTGCATAGCAAGACCCTGTCTCAACAACAAAAAAAGGGCTGGGGATATAACTCAGTGGCAGACTCCTGGTACCCCTTCCTAACAGACAGACTCACTCTCATTAGAAATTGGGATGAAACAAGTAACTGACCGGTCCCTGCACGCTTGCCTAAGCAGGTGCTTTAGACCGCTGAGCTATCTTGCCGGCAACCCCAACAACTTCTTACTATGACTCTAAATGAACTTTGAAACATTCAGCTCTCAAAGGCCACTTTAAAACGTTTTACAAACCTTCCCACGTTACACAGACCGAAAAAGCTGTGCCAGGGCAAACAGGTAAAAGAGACCCAGAGCTCAGAGAAGCATTACCTTGGTGTATCAATACCCTAATAACTGACATTAAGAATAGGGAAAACTGTTTTGCTTGGGCCACTAAATATCACTTTTATACCATTTCTCAAAGCAAACTACACCATAGCACCTTTTTTCCTACGTACAAGGTTTGCTTTGGATTTTTTTTTTTTTTTTTTGCAGAACCAGGGATTGAACTCAGGCCCTTGCGCTTGCCAGGATGCTTTGGTTTATTTTATTACTACATGGTCTCTAGAAACCATGGATTCTAGAGACCATGAGTTAGTGGAGGGATGTATACTTGTCAACAGAAAAAAATGTCTGCTGTTAATACTTATGCAATATCCATTTATTTTATCTATTTTGTATTTTTTTTGAGGAACCGGACATTGAACTCAGGACCTTATTCTTGCCAGGCAAGTGCTTATTCTACTGAGCCATCTCCCCAGCCCCCAATAACCATTTATGAATATAAAAATGCTCACATATCTGGGCATGGTACTGCAGGCCTGTAGTCCCAGCACTCTGGGGGACTCAGGCAGATCGAATACAAATTTGAGCCTAACCTGGGCTCAAATATTGATCATAAGTATTATTAAAAAAAGTTGTAATCCTCAAATGTTTCTCACAAATCCACTTAAGTAATTTAGAGTTCTAAAGCTTTGTTGGTAAAATATGCAAAAAGTGACAGAAGAATCAAGCTTCTCATCTTCTTTCAACCCCAATCAACTGTACTGACAGTGAGACTTTTTTTTTTTTTTTTTTGGCTGAACCGGGGATTGAACTCAGGCCCTTGTGCTTGCTAGGGAAGCGCTTATTCCACTGAGCCATCTCCCCGGCCCCCTAAATGTTTTTAAGTTATTCTCTTTTTTTAACTTGATTGAAATTTAATTCACTGATTTATTTATTTATTGGCGGAACTGGGAATTGAACTCAGGCCCTTGTGCTTGCCAGGGAAGCACTTATCCTCTGAGCCATCTCCCCAGCCCTGAGATTTTTATACAATGTGCAACAAATATGGGAAAGCTTCAGCTTTGACACTTCACATTATTAAGCAGTCATAAATTTCAGCTAGGGTCTTAAACCTAAAAAACCTAAGTCTTTTTTCCTGCCTATGACAACTGTCTCACAGTCTTCTGCAAAGCTATGGGTCAGTGGAGACCAGATGCTTTTTTCTCCTCCCTGTATAACTAGTTCAGGGATACTTTAATTCTCTGGACAGCACTTTCATTATTAGTATAAGCAGCACAGAGGGTCCACTGTGGGATCCTAGACTTTAGTTTCTAATAGTGCATCTCTGAGAAAAAGTAGCAAGAATATTACTGATGAAAGAAGAAAGCTGGGGGCTGAGGAGATAGCTCAGTAGAATAAGTGCTTGCCTGGCAAAGCCTGATTTCAATCCTTGGTTCCACTAAAAAAGAAGAAATCTGGCCAAACATGTTTAACGATAATCTTAAGCCTTTTTTTTTTTGCAGAACCAGGGATTGAACTCAGGCCTTTGCACTTGCCAGGGAAGCGCTTATTCTACTGGGCCATCTCTCCCCAGCCCTCTAATTTGGATTTTGACCTTACAAATCTATGGTTTATATAAAAATATTACTCATTAGGGCTGGGGAGATGGCTCAGTAGGATAAGCGCTTGACTAGCAAACACAAGGATCTGAGTTCAATCCCCGGTTCTGCCAAAAAAAAAAAAAAAATTACTCATTAGATAGAAGATTCAATATAGCACTGCAATGAAAAAAAAAAAAAATCAGCAATTAAGAGCATACTTCCAGGACTGAGGAGATGGCTCAGTGGAATAAGTGCTTGCCTGGCAAGCACAAAGACCTGAGTTCAATCCCCAGTTTCACAAAAAAAAAAAAAAAAAAGCATACTTCCAAGCCAGGCATGGTGCCAAATGCCTGTAATCCCAGCACTCAGGAGGCTGAGGCAGGAGGATTGCTGAGTTCAAGGCCAACATGAATTACAGAGCAAGACCCTAATTCAAAAAAACAAAACAAAATAAAACCATACCTCCAACCGTGAAATAGGCTGCGGGCCAAAGCTCTCTTCTTCCACTGAAGTTTCTGCACTTGCTTCAAGCTGCATCTGCATGGCCATTACTGAAAAATACAGATGGCCACAAACACTACAGAAATTCTGCGGAGAGAACGAACATATGTTCAAATATAATTTGGTTAAATATGTCTGTATTGAGCATGTACAAACTTATTTCTTGTTATTATTCCCCCCAAACAATATAGTATAATAATCATATACAGTATTTGCATTCTATTAGCTATAGCATACAATCTAGAGATGGTTTAAAATGTGGGAAAATGTGCATAGATTATTTGCACAAATTACTGTTTTATATTAAATATTTGAATATCCTCAGATTTTAGTATCTGGGTGGGAGGAGGAGGATTCTAGAACCAGTTCCCCCAAAATACCGAGAAACACCACCAAAGAAAAACAAAACAAAAAAAAATTTCCAATTTAGATTATCTGTCCCAGAGATAAAAACGTTTTTGAAATATAAAATAAGTCTCATGGCCTTATAGTTGGTTTTATTTTTATTATTATTATTATTTTTTGCAGTACTGTTGATGAAAAGTAGGAGGGTTCTATCACTGTACTGCATCCCCAACCCCTTTCTACAGTACTTTGAGACAAGTTCTGGCTGAATTGCCCAGGTGTGTGACTTCAACTTGCAATCCTGTTGCCTTAACTTTCCTCAGTACTGGGGTTACAAACATGGACCACAGTATACAGCAGAATATTTAGATAGAGAACTGGATATATGAGGTAAAGAACCAAAAAATAGGGCCAGGGAGATGGCTCAGTAGAGTGGGTGCTTCCCTGGCAAGTGCAACAGCCTGAGTTCAATCCCCAGTTCCGCAAAAAAACCAAAACCAAAACCAAAAAAAGACTGAAAAAAATTGGACTATAAACCACAAATGAGGGACCGGATAGATGGCTCAGTGGAATAAACGCTTCCCTGGCAAGCACAAAGGCCTGAGTTCAATCCCCAGTTCCGAAAAAATAAATAAATAAATAAATAAATAAAATAAAAAATAAACCACAAATAATGGCACATGCCTTTTATCCTACCATTTTAGAAGTTCAAGCCCAACCTGACAATTTAGTGATTAGCGACTATCGGTCTCAAAATAAAAAATAAAGAGTTGGGGATGTACCTCACTGTGCAGTAGCATAGTACCAGAAAAAAAAAAAAAAAAAGACAACATATAAATCCAAACTTCTATTCATCAAAAGACACTATTAAGGCTGGGCATGGTGGCACACGCCTGTAATCCCAACACTTGGAAGGCTGAGTTTGAGGCCAGCCTGGGCTACAAAGTGAGTTCAAGGTCAGCCTGAACTGTTTGGCAAGACCCTGTCTCAAAAAACAAGACACTATTAATATTCTGAAAGGTTGCAGTTTGATCCCCAGCACCACAAGCCCTGCCAGCCCCACCCCCAGGGTGGGCTGAACTGACAAAAAAACAAAGATTTTGAAGTCATCTCATGGGGCCAGAGAGATGGCTCAGTAGAATAAGCGCTTCTGTGGCAAGCCCAAGGACCTGAGTTCAATCCCCAGTTCCACCACACTGGAAGAGAAAATTACAACCAAATGGCTCAAATAGTTAACTTCATCAGTAATTAAAAAAAATCACATTTGAAACCACACAGCTAAGAATTAAAAAGACATACAATGTGTTGACAAGCACCTGGAACCAGGGGGGAAAATAAAGTGTAGGAAAGTAAAATAATTATTCTTTCATTTTGAGGAGGCTGGCCTAGAACTCGGGGAACCTCCTGCCTCAGCCTCCAGAATGCTAGGATTAGATATACACACCTGTTTGAAACTGTCTCATTGCTAATTGTTTCTCAATAAAATTATGGAGGGGGGAAAAAAAAGATATACACACCTGGTTGACAGTATAATATATTTTTTTTGTATCGGAATTTGAACTCAGGACCTTTCACTGGTCACTGGGCCATATCCCTGGCCAGCATATTATTTTTTCACCAGCCAAGGATTCATTTCATAAAGATTTATGGAGCTGTACACACCTGTAATCTGTGCACTTTATACTTTGTGTGAATGTGAATATAATTTCACTTTGTAGGCGTTTAAACACCCAATCTTACTTCAGATCCTTCCGTAAACAGTATGTGCAAGGTTTTTTTTTTTTTTTTTTTTCCTGCGGAACTGGGGATTGAACTCAAACCCTTACACTTGCCAGACAAGCGCTTATGTTACTGAGCCATCATCTCCCCGGCCCCTGCGCACGCTTTTTCGACGATGATGAACATGATCTTTCCAAAAGTGGAGGCCGGCGCCGTGTACCGCACGGCTGAACACCGACCGGGAAGCCAGAACCCCGGGTCCGAGGCGAACACCTGTGCCCGCCCCCTCCTCCCCAGATCTCGCTTCCTAGCTCAAGCCCGGAAAACTAGCGTTGGCCGAGAAGGTCCGCAGGCTCCGAGGCTGTGCCGGCATCGAATGCCCTCACGCGCGCTCTGAAGGGCGGCTGGGTCGGATGGGCCCAGCTCCGCCATCTTTGGCTCCTCGGCGGACGCAGGGGTCCCTCAGTTGGCTGCGGGAGGCCGAGCCGGGCGGGTCCAGGCGGCGAGAGGGAGACCAGCGGCGGCGAAGGCCCGGCGCGCATCCACTCACCTGAAATGCCGCGCTGCTCCGCTGGCCTACCCGACTCCGGCGGCTTGACGACTCTCGCTGTTTTCTGCTCTCAACCAGGGCGAGCTTCAGCTCCGTCACACGCTCGCGGTGAGCACCGCAGCTGTACTCAGGCGCGGGCGTCTCACCGCAGGCCGCAGCAAACAGCGACTTTCAGAAATCCCGCCAAAGCCTGTCGGGCAGGGCCGCGCCTGCGTCAGCGTGACGTCAAACTGCTCTGCTCGGGTCTGCGTCTAGTCTGCTCTGATTCTTCCCGACAGAGATGGACCCGAGGAAATTAAACCTGCGTGACACTGAGGATTATGCTCCTCCCTTCCCCCCTAAAGACTAATTCAAATCTAGTCAGTTGTCGCCTTCTCTTTATCAGTCTGACAACTACAAATCCTGAAGAGGTGCAGCCGACCTGGACTACATCTCCCAGGACGCACCGCTTCCGGCACTTAGCCTGTGCGAGACCTGCTCCTGAGAGCTCTTCCTGGTTTTTTCCATTAAAGTCTAAAACTCGTGTCTTACCGTCCAACTAAAGTTTGGTTGCAGTGGAGTTTCCCTAGAGGCTGCAAAAACTGCTTAAAACGGAGTTATTTATTTACACTACTAATCATGAATACACAAATGTGTTATTTCTATATAATGAAATATTTTCCCATAAAAAAAGGAATGAAAGTGATACAGGGAGAAAAACTGATCTGGTGTGAGTGACCTCCAAATGCTACAGGGAACTCCAAATGGCATAGGGCACAATGATCTCCCAACCTGACCTGGACGAGTTCATGTTCTCTAAAACCGAAGAATGAATTTTAGGAACAAACGGAGGTTATGAGCAGAATATATTTATTGAGGGAAAGAAAGCTACTGTCCGAGAGAGGGACAGGAGGGGGCCCCGAGCTAATTGTTCCCCGGAAGTTGACTCTTCCACGGACTTTTATAGTGTAAAACCATGGGGGGCTAAGGTGGAGAAAGGGGGAACTTACTTAGGTGGGCATAAGGTGGGACAAAACTATGGTTAAACAGTGGGATTACAAGCACCATTGCTCAGGTAAAATTGATTAAATCCAGGACCAAATGATGAAGGGAGTCAGGTAGCAAGTGGGCATGAATATGGGACAGGGTCTCTTCCTGTAGGGGGTTGGGCTAGTGACTCACTTGGGCTCTTTCCAGGTGATCCATACCACTTTAGAATATCAATCCCAGGTGCTACTCTTTTAGCATTTGTTTGGCCTTTAGGTCTTTAGGGTTGGTTCACAGCAGGAGCATCTGCCCCTCCCATAGTTGTCTTTGTCTTCTGTGACAGCTCCTTCCAGGGCCTGGCCCTGTTTGACTGCTTGTAATATTTCTATCTAGCTCGGCTGCTTGTAACAAAAGCAATCAGTATAGTGGTACACTCCTGCAATCTCCACTCTTGAGGCACTGATGCAGGAGGATCACAAGTTTGGGTCAGCCTGGAACAATTTAAAGACACCTTGTATCCAAAAAAAATTAAAAGGGGTGGGCATATAAATGGAAAGGTCTTGAATTCAGTCCCTGTACTACCCCACCCCCTGACCCTCCCAAAAGGAGATATGGCTCAGGGCTAAGAGTGATTGCCTTCTTTGTGTGATGCACTGGTTCAATCCCCAGGACCACCGGGAAAGAAAACCAAAAGGTGATGAAATACTTGATAGGTTCTGGCTCCAGTATAAACTGCTAAATTATTACGTGGTCATCTAATATGGCTGAAGCCCTTAAAACAACAGTTTATCTTCCCAATTACCACTTCCTCCTTCTTCCCCACTCCAGCCCAGGATACAATTTCCTCACCTTTCCCACACACCCAGGGGAGACCTCAATCAGCTCCTTACATGTAATTGAAACTGATCTCCTAACTCCACCCCTAGCAAAATTCCCTTAAAAACCTCAGCTTTCTTTGTCTAGGGTTAGAGGATTTTCCCATCTGTCTTTGAGCCTCTCCATGTCTGTATAAGAATAAAGGCAGGTCCACCAAATAGCTCAGCAGATTAAAGCGCCGGCAAGCAGGCACAGGGGCCAGGGATTTGAAAATTAATGAAGCTTTATCTTTCCTATCTCTTTATTGCACTGCTGAAGACCTCATACTGACCCTAAACATGAACTTTGAAAACATCACACTAAAAAAGTCAAAACAAATCACAAAAAAAGCCTATTGTATTCTACTTTTTTTTCTTTTTTTTGTGCCGGAACCGGTAATCCTACTCAGACCTTTGCGCTTGCCAGGAAAGTGCTTGTTCTACTGAAGGTCTCACTATGCAGTTCTGACTCATAATGATCCTCCTGTTTTCAGCCTCCCCAGTACTGGGATTACAGGCACGCCTCACATCACGCCAGAACGCGGTCTTGGCTCAGCGCGCTGGGAGCGGGTGGGGGCAGGCACTGTGTGTGGGACTAGGGATTGAACCCTGGTCGGTCCCTGTGCTTGCCCATACAGGCGCTTAGTAAACTAAGCTTTCTCCCAGGCCCTCTGCTTTCTATTAAATACCCAAAATAGACAAATGTACAATCAGAAAGTAGACTGGATCATTTTTTAAGGGTAGGGTGGGAGATGTGGTAAGAAAAAGTGTTATCAAAGGACATATGGTCTTTTTTTTTAGCATAGTAAAATACAGACATTTATCATCTTAATGACTTCTTGCTGTTTTGGGAGAGGTGATGCTATGTAGCTCAGGCTGTCCTTGAATCTTGAGGCCCTCTTGCCTCAGCCTCCCAAGTACTGGTATTATAGGTGTAGTATCACACCTTATCCCTGTTAACTACTTTTATGTGTGTGTAGCTCATCAGTATTAAGTACAAACATACGGTTGTGAAACCAATCTAGGAGTTTTATAGCTTCATATTTAGGTCTTTAGTCCATTATGTGTTAATTTTTGTATGTGGTATAAGGTGTCTTATTTTACGCTTTTTTTCCGCTTCAGTGATGGAGATTGAGCCCAGGACCTTGAACATAACAGGGAAGCACTGTCACTTAGCTACACTTCAGCCCACAATTCATTCTTTTCTATGTGGATAACCAGTTTTCCAACACCATTTGTTGAAAAGTAGTTTTTTTGATGATTAAAGTCTAAAATTAATTCTGATAGTCCTATACATCTTAAATATATTAGCATTTAATGGTACTTTTTTTTTTTTTTTTTTTTTAACCAGGGATTGAACTCAGGCCCTTGTGCTTGCCAGGGAAGCGCTTATTCTACTGAGCCATCTCCCCAGCCCTAATGGTACATTTTAAATGGTGTATTTTATTATGAATTTTACTTTGATAAAGCTCTATATAGGAGAAAGGTTTTTTTTGACTCAGTAGCTTTGTGATAAGGCCAGCACTCCTGGCAATTATACTTTGAAAATTATTGCATTAATTTATAGGCAATGATAATTTCCAGAGGAACCTCAAAATAGTTGAGTTTTTTGGAGGGAGGGCATGCTGGGGATTGAATCTATGGACGTGTACATGCCATGCATGTGCTGTACCACTGAACTGCAGCTCCAATCCCCAAATACAGTTGTTTTCTTTTACTGTCCTTCAGAAACATAAAGGTAAGCTATGCTTTTTATACATTTTAATTTTAAATTATTTTTGCAGCATGAACCCCCAGGGACTTTGCACTGAGCTACATGCCTTTTCATTTTTAAATTTTGAGACAGGATCTAACCAATTGGGCAAGGCTGGGCTGGAACTGGCTCCTGTCTTGGCCTCCTTGCATGCTGAGACTAGGGCACATGCCACCATTTTCAACTCATAATACACTTTTTAATCATTTTTATTTAAGTACATGTTCCTAGACAGAGATTTGTTTGGTTTATCTTTTGACTACATGGTACATTACTCTTCACTCAATGATAAAGGGCCACTATTTACAAAAGCTTTCAAATAATAAACTTTTTTTTTTTTTTTTTT